CACATGCACACGCACACTCGCATATGCACACACACAAATAACCAGTGCCCCTAACAACAACCAACTCAAATGTCCATAGTGTCCTGATAAGAAATAAGCATCAAGTGAACCGGCCTGGTGGCACACACCTGTAATTCCAGAACTGGGGGCAGAGGCAGGAGGATCAGGAGTTCAAGGCCAGCCTGTGCTACTTGAGACAAAAAAGAAAGAAAATTAAAAGAGAAAATCTACAAATGGAAAGAGGTTATGCCCAAGAGCATGTGAAGAGTGCTGCCATTTGCAAAAGCAACGGAGTCTGATGTGTCCGTGTGTGGAGGCCTCCTCTGGAAGAACTTACTAGAAAGGGGAACATTGGCTGAAGAGGAGGGACGGCTGGATAGACAGGGACCTTGTAGGGCTTTTTGTTGTATTCTCCTTTGTAATTTTATTGTTAGTTTATTGATGTGTTCTGATATAGGGTCTCGTGTAGCCCAGGCTGGCCTCGAACTCCTGGTGGAGCTAGGATGATCCTTACACTCCTCACCCTCCTGCCTCCGCCCTCCAGCGGTCACAGGGTGTGTGCCTACCATGCCTGGCTGCAATTTGAAGATCCTGAACTGGGTCCACATTTCCTTTTTTTCCTTCTATGTTTTAAGAATGTTTATTGGATGTGTCTGAGAGTTGTACTTGTCTAAGACATGGTGTGTGTGTGCCTGGTACCTGCAGGGGCTGGGATAGGAGGCTGGACCCCCTGGAACTGGAGTGATAGTTCGTAAGCCGCCATGTGGGTGCTGGGAACTGAACTGAACTGGGGTCCTCTGCAAGAACAGTAAGAGCCATCTCCCCAGCCTGGCCCCTTAGTTTACAGCTTCTATTCAAAGAACAGGCACACACACCACAGTGGGCCAGCCTCTGCTCCTTGACTGGGGTGGCAAGTCTAAGAACCTCCAAATTGATAGAGTGGGATAGTGTAGTCTCAGTCCCGCCTGGAAGGGGCTTTGGACCAAGGACGGGGAACAAGAGGTGGAGAGAGAGCACCGAGGTGGTGGCGCACGCCTTTAATCCCAGCACTCAGGAGGCAGAGGCAGGTGAATCTCTGAGTTCGAGGCCAGCCTGGTCTACCAAGTGAGTTCCAGGACAGCCAGGGCTCCACTGAGAAACCCTGTCTCAACCCCCCCCCCCAAAAAAAAGGGGGCAGAAATAGGGTCCTGGAAAAGCTGCATTAAAGAGGCACACACCCTCCGGAGTCTCTTCCTGTGATGGCCGACCGCCAGATCCTCTCTTTCTCAGCCCCCATCTCACAGCCTTGCTCCCATCAAGGTTGACAGTGCCCTCTTTCTGCTTCGCCTACAGGTCAATCTTAAACCACAAGTCAGTCAACCTCTCCCAATGGCCTGTGCTGGCTGGGAGGATGCCCAGAGGCTACATCCTGCTCTGAACAGGAGCCCACGAGTCCAGAGTCTTCTCCAATCAGAGATGTTCTGCCCTCAGTGGCCGAATGTGGCCGCTGTCACTGAGAGGTCACAGCAGGCCTAGATAAGCACACAGGTGAGGAGCTGGCTGCTCTCCAGGGGCCCCCCTATCCAGGGCTCTGATTCAGCCATGACTTGGGATAAGATGCATGTTGGGATCCTTTGGGAAGAGATAGGAATGCCTTAGTTTTATGACAGGTAATTCATTTTGGAAACTCCGTTAACAAGACACACATAACACTGAAGCCACACAGGACCACGGAAGTGAGGAAAAGAACAGGGCCGGTGGGAAGGTCGGACACCTGGGGAGGCTGGTCTAAAGAATCTAAGCAGAGTAGGACGAGAGCTCTAAAAAGAGCTGTCCAGAGGCCCTCTGGAAAGACGATAGGGAAGGAAAGGGGGAGAGAGGGAGGGAGGAAGGGAGGGAGAGAGGGAGGAGGGGAGAGAGGGAGGGAGGGAGGGAGGGAGGGAACTGGAATATGGGGAGGAAGAGGCCCAGGAAGGTGGCTGTAAGGATGTCACTGTGAATGGAGGGCCCTCCGTAGGCCCTCAGGCTGGACATACAACTGTATAAAACAAGGTGGGCAGTGGAACCCCAGAGAACAGGGCAGAAGTTGGGGTCACAGGGGGTGGGAGGTAGGGAAGCAGGGTTGGACTGAGCTGGGGGGGGGGTGCGGCTCCTGTTCAAATACTAATATTGGGGATAGAAGGTTCTAGACCCAGTGGAACCTTGCAGCCACAAAGCCCTCGCCACTGAACCATTCTCAGGGGGAGACCTACAGCGTGTCTCTGGACTGGGGTCCACTCAGAAACTTCACCCTGCTAATAAGGAAACTGAGCCCCAGAGAGAGAGCTGCAGAACCTCTCCTAAAGCGAGCCAGGATCGGACTCCAGGTTGCCTGGCTGTGAGATTGTGTGGGGAGGGCAGTCCTGGAGTGGGCCGTGTGGTCACAGCCCACCCCGTGCCTGTGGCTCCTCTTCCCGGTCGGTCGGCAGCCCTGCACCCCACAGCCCTGCACCCCACAGCCTTGCCACAGCCCCTTGGTATCCAGCTCACGCGCTCAGCATCCGCTCACCTCACTGAACACACATCGCGGCGGTGTCTGTGATTTATCACCCTACAGATGCTACCAAAATGCCAAACTCCTCGCACCCGCTCTGCGGGTGTCTGCAGAGAGGAAGCTGCCGTGCAGAGAGAGAGAGAGAGAGAGCCTTGGCGTTGGCTGGAGGGAAATGCTTGATTTTCCCGGCTCCTTCCCAAGACTACCAGAGGCAGCAGCTCCCAACTGCAATGCTGTGACTCTGCCCACCCTTCGCCTTCTCCCTGGCGTCGGGCTGCTTGGCAGAATGGGTGTTTTGTGTTGGTTTAGGGCATTCTTGCTGTTGTGGTATAGTACGTACACACACACACTCACACACACACCAGGAAGGTCTTTGACAAAGCTTGTATCTCAGTAGAGCCCAAGTGACCCTCTTTGGATGCAAAGACCAAGGCTCAAACATCAAAATGGGAGGGAGACCACTCAGGAGCCTCCAAACCACGTGCCAGGGGTCAGGGCTATTCCTGAGGCTCTGAGGGCCCACGGGATGTAGTAAAGGGAAGAGGAATGGTCTGGGCCTCGGGACCTTGCTCTGAGAAAGGCAGTGGCTTTACGTTCTGCTCCCGGGTCCAAACTCCTTCAAAGAAAGGGCGGTGCCCGTGGAAACAGGCCTGGTTGTCTGAAGAATCTGGGACCGACAGCATAAACAGTATGGCTAAGGAGGAGGAGAGGCCCTTTTCTGAAACGTGAGGGAAGAAGGGCACTAGACGGAACCCCAGCCCTGGAGGGACTGCATGGAGCAGAGTCCTCCGGCCCAGCCATGTCCCGCTATAGCCGCATGGGAAGACACACCTCAAGGATGCTAAGTGCTGCCGAGATTCATGGAGAGCCAGCAGCCCGCCGGCCTGAGTCGTAGGAACTCTCAGCTCGGTGTGATCAGTGACGGGGACACCCCGTCTATCTGCAGAGGAGAGGAGGATTCTGTCCAGAGACTTGGGACAGAGGAACAACAGTCACAGAGCAGGGTAGCACCCAGAGAGGGTAGGAAAGCTGGATCCCTGAAGCAGAGAGCCCCATCCCCACCCGGGGCTCCTTCCTGGCCTGTGGAAAGCGTGGGCTGCCAGGACAGATCATCAGCTGAGGGGTAGGGTAGCTCTCCAGAAAAGCCCACACTCCGGCAGGAGGGCAGGAAAATTCAACATTTTCCAGTCTCTTGGGCTCTTGTAAGAGTCCATACTCCCTAGGGCCCTGGGCTCCCATGGCACATTCCTAGGCAGTGGTTTGCCTAGGAAGATGGCATTTAGAGTCAAAACTGAGGGCCCAAAGAGGATGATGGCGGCTCTAGGGAGGACGGGACAGAGATTCCAGCACTGGGAAGGCGTCTCACTGGGCTCAGCTGGGAGTTGGCAGAAGCATCTCATTGAGAAAGACAGAAAATCCAGTGAGGCAGGTGCTTGCCTGCTATGACAAGGTCAGGTATGCCGTCGCTGGAAACGGGCTCCATCCTTTGGGCTGGGCCCCTCCCTTCCCAGCCAGCATCCTGAGTGGCAGGGAGTCTCCATGTGCACTGAACTGGTATCCGCCAGGGCAGTGGCTGGCATGGCCATGTCACAAGGCGGCCTCCTAACGCTCACTTCCACGAAACTGTTAAGTGGAGCCCACGAAGGCCGGCAGCTTCACGCTCGCTTCCCGGCACTCATTCGCAGGCGCCTATCAAAGACCTGGATAAAATATTTAATACAAAAGGCCTCATTTTAGCTCTCTCGGAGGCACTCAGGCGGCGGCAGCAGCAGAGGGTGGAGGTTCGGTGCCGCATGCCTCATGACCCCTCTGTTATTCATTAAGCCACTGAGCCAGCCTTATTGATGTTCAGCTGTCTGGGAAAAACACCTGACAAAATGCAAACCCTGCTGCAGGGCCAGAAAATCACTGTGCATGCTCCCCCGAAGAAATATCCACCTCGCCCTGGCCATCAGACAAACTCAGGCTTCATTGATCAGACAACCCTGCTTTCATCTTCTAGGGGGTGAGGAATAAGGGTCCCCTGGAAGAGCACAGCCACCCTCCTCCTTGGCTTAAAACACTTTCTACTCTACCAGGGCTCAGATCAGACAGACGGCAGCCTTCTTGGAGCTCCGAGGACATGGAGTCCCACATTGATTTCGCCACCGCGGTAATGGCAGTTGGGGGAGGGAGCTAACAGCTCCTACGGCCTCTCCCCGGGTCTCTGTTCGGCACTTACGGTCCTTAACACACTGAATTGTGAAGTAAAGAAAGAGGAAACAAGTAGCTGGGGGAGCACTAGGAAAATGTTTACCCCAGCTTGGTGCGGCAGGTAAAAAAGCCTTGCTCACAGTGTCGTTCTGTTGATCGCTCAGACGGGCCCTGGGGAACCCAGTGCTCCCACTAACCACAGCTCGGCGCTGGCTAGAAACGTGAGTGGCACTCATCCCCCTGCTGAGAGTGCTCCCACCAGCCAGACCGCCAAGCTCAAGGGCCGCTAGACAGACCCTGGAGGAAGAAGGTGGGAGACTGGGTACCAGATCCCGATGAAGTCCTGGACTCGGGAAGCGGCCAAGTGAGTCTTTTGTGAACGTGAACTTCAAGAGAGCATCATGGAGAACCTGTTCCCTGTCGGGTGGAACAGAGGTGGCGGGTGGAAAGAGCCTCAACTATGCTCTTACGGTGACCCACAGAGGAATGCCGCTCCTGCCGCTGAGACCCTGTCTTGGGGGTGACTGCATTTTCCAAAACAACTCGGACCCACGTCCTGCTTTTTTTTCTCCAGATATGCAGGTGAGACTCAAGCAGCCTGCGACCTCCTCATCAGTGAGGTTCTCTGCAGAGGGGCCATCAGCAGCCCTGATAAAATGTAACCAGAGGCACCTGGAGCCACCCAAGCCCGCACCGAGGCGGGACGGACACTAGAGGGCGCAGCCCAGCAGAGTCCCTAGGCCGTAGCTGATACCCGTCTCCATCTCTAAACCAGGTAAAAGTACATAGAGGGTCTAAACCAATGGTTCTCAATCTGTAGGTCACGACCTCCCGGGTATCAAACGACCCTTTAAAGGGGTCACCTAAGGCCATCCTGCATATTAGATATTTACATTATGATTCATAACAGTGGCAAAATTAGTCATGAAGTAGCAACGAAAGTAATTTTATGAATTAAGCGTGTGTCATCACAACATGAGGAACTGCATTAAAGCGTCGCAGCATTAGGGAGGTAAGACCCCGCTGCTCTAAACTCATATAGACCCGTAGGGTAAAACATACAGGATTTGGGCCTGTTTGGAATATAATGGGTTAAATCAGATTGAGGACATTGCTCAGGACTGTTTCTCTTTCTTCTTTCCATGTGGTTATAGGAAAATCTCATGTTCCATATGCATATGGCTGTCACCATACTTCTGGTGGACAGTAGTGGGCAGTACTAAGTGATGGTACTGACGACTCTGTAGCTAAGGCCACCAGGCAGGGGTTCTTCCCCTGCCCACTAGCACCCTACGGTGTCCTGTGACGCCATGAGTGAAAGATAATGTGTTTGCACCTCAGTCCTCATCAGTTCCACAGCCCCAGCTTGCAGGGCTAGCTTGGACCTCTTTGGGGAGCCAGCTGCCAGGGACCTCAAGCCTGACCCCAGCCAGGGAGGCAGACGGCGGCAATAAAAAGAGGCTCCTTCCTCTTCTGAGTGACCACAGCCAACCCCCAGTGAGATCTAGGGGAGGCGGGCTAGGGTGCTCCTGGGTACTCAGACGCGAACCCAGCCTGCCATCTGAGAATCTTCCTGACGGCTGAGCCCCAGAGCCATGTCTCAGCTGGAGTGGCTCCAGACCAGGGCTGGTCACGTAAGAATCTTCCTGACAGCTGAGCCATCATCCCCTGGGGGCTCACACTCCCCAGAGCCACAGTGACTATAGGAAAAAGGGACGCATGGTTGGCAAGATGACTCCTTGGGTAAAGGCACCCCAGCCACCCGCCCTGAGGTCCAGAGTTTGAACAGTGGGAGGAGAGAACGGAATCCTACAAGTTGTCCTCGAGAACCTTCACACACACACACACACACACACACACACACACACACACACACACGCTGACACTGCCCATCACACACAAGTTGATACATACATGTGAAACGTAAAGGGCTGAGTAAAAGTGTAATGTTAGAAAGCGGCAGCCGGCCAGACGGCATGGAAAGCCCCACCCCACCCCGCACGGCTCCACCTCTGCAGTCTCCAAGGCTGAAAGGCTCCACGCGAGTTAGGGAACCGGAAGAGGTGGAGAAGAAGAAGAGGAAACCCCCAAGAGGAAACCGCCCCTGTAACAGGAAGAGGGCCCTGTGGGTGGTTCTCCTCACCAACCAAGGCTCATGTGGGTCACACCCACTCCAGTCACCCAGGAAGCCCTTGCTCACCTGCTGCAGCCCGTTCAGACACAAACATCTCCTCACTCCTTGGAGGGCAGATTTTGCAGACTCTACAGTCACTGTTCTTCTCAGCATCCTGATGGGACTTCCTACCTTCCCTAAGGACCTCCATTTCCAGGGTGTCATTTACTTAGTTTTCTCACCTCTGGTAAGCATGTTTCAGTCCCAGGGCCTTTGCACCTGAAGTTCCTCCTCCCTTCTTTTCTGATTCAGAGTCATTCCTTCAGCATTGGTGCTTCCTCTTGGGGAGACCCCTAGGATTCATGCACACATGTATGCACACACACACGAGCATGTACACATAATACACACACACATCCCTTTGGCATGTGCAGAGAGAGCATAGAGGTTGACATCAGGATGTGTTTTTTCTCTTTAAAAAGAATTGCTTTTTATTTCTATTCACGTGTATGTCTGTGTGCCATGTGCTCAGAGAGGACAGGAGAGGATGTCAGAGCCCTGGAGCTGCAGGATACAAGTGCTGGGAACCGAACTCAGGTCTCTGCAAGAGCAGAACTTGTCCTTAACCATGTAGTCATCTCTCCAGCCCCCGGGATGGCTTTTGTCTTTTGCTCTTTGATCCCTGTTTCCCTTCCCTCAGCTCCACCCTCTGCTTTCAGAGTCAGGGCTCTCTCTGCACCTAGAGGTTCCTGCTTGCCATTCTGTGTAGACTAGCTGACCAGAAAGACCCTGAGGTTGGGCTGCTCCTGTCTCCATAGCACCGCGGTGACAGAGCACGGTGCCCCGGAGAATGGACCCAGGGATGAAAAGACTCTTCCCAGCCTCCCAAGGGCTCTAACATGTGTGACCTCCAGGATTACAGACCCAGGAAGGAATGTGAGGGTGGAGGATGGCAAAGTGGCCTCTTCTGATGTGAAGTTACAAGAAGGCACATTCTGGGTTGGTCTTCTAGAAACCTCCACTCACTGTCACGGGCATAGACACAGCAGGGTAGACACCCAGGAATGTGTCACACCAGGAGGCTGCTCACTCGTCTGATGTGGATGTCCCTTCGATTGGACAGCAACCTAGCCATGGGGTCCCAAGTAAGGCTTCCTGCTCCTTCCCAAGAGGTCATTATCATCAAAGACGCTCTGGGGGTGACTGGACCACAGTAAACATCATTAGACCTTTTACAGGCCTCTGCTTCTAGATGGGACCAGAGGGACATCTGGGCACCTAGTTCCCTGTAGTGGGGGAGGGGAAGGCAAGGAACAGTGTGTGAGCCAGTGCTGGGAGGCTGAGGGAGAGCGTTTACCTAGTGAGGAAGTGACAGTATGTCACAGGGACAGGGGTCTGGCCAACTAACACGGAGCATGACCAAGAAGATGACCAACCCAGTCAGACCAGGCACTGGCAATGGGGAGAGCTGGAGAGATGGAAGGCAGAGCATGTCCAACCCCCAACTCTCTCATCTAATGGCCAGCTGTATAGAAACCAAAGCTCAGGACTAGCCAGGCGGTGGTGGCGCACGCCTTTAATCCCAGCACTCAGGGAGGCAGAGCCAAGCGGATCTCTGTGAGTTCGAGGCCAGCCTGGGATACCAAGTGAGATCCAGGAAAGGCGCAAAGCTACACAGAGAAACCCTGTCTCGAAAAACAACAACAAAAAAACCCAAAACCAAAATAAATCAAAAAAGCTCAGGACCCCAATGATGCTCACCTACACATTAGAAGCTCAAGACTGAGCCATAGGAACAAACACATCGCATAAACACACAGTCTTGCTTCTGGGGATTGATTATAAACTATGAATTGACTCCTCTTCTTGTTTTTGAGACAGGGTCTCTTGTATCCCAGGCTGGACTTGAACTGGACCTTGAACTCCTGATCCTCCTGCCTCCATTTCCCAAGTGCTGGGATTAGAGCCATGCACCACCATACCCATTTTGTGCAGTACTGAGGGACAGAATTTAGGGCTTTGTGCATTGTAGGCAAGCATGCTACCAACAACCCCAGCCTGTCCCCTGTCTGTCTGTCTGCCTCTCTCTCCCTGTTTCTTGTGACAGTGTCTTTCTATACAGCCCAGACCAGCCTTGAACTCAAGACGTTCCTTGAGATTGCAGGAGCACAGCATGCCTTGCACGCCCTTTTGAAGGGTGTGTAACACATCACCACAAACTGGAGTTGGGCAGAGACCTCTGTCTCCTCCCACCAGCCCCTCTAGAGCCGGAAGTCTTGGGCGGTCAGTTCTGGTGGGATGGAGCCAACAGAGCCTTGCTGCCCGGCACCCAGGCTCAGGTTGGCACACTGGCTCCAGGCTTGGTGGGGTGGGTTCTTCGGGGCTCCTGGGCTGGCTGTGGAATGATTCACATACGGATTCCTGATTGGGAGGGATGATCGTTCATATCAGCAATGCTCTGATGCTGTAGGCCAGTAAGAGCCTTTCCCCAGTGGACAAAGGAACATGGAACAGACCTTCCAGGACTGCCTCTGTATAGTGACTCGGGCTGCCTTGGCCTGTGGCCAGCACCCAACACTCCTGGGAGGGCCTAGCAGTAACCCCAGGGTGCTGAGCCAGGCTAGCATCAAAGCAGGTAGATTACCTCTCATTGCTCCCCACTCAGCCTCTCTAAAAGGGCTGCAGCCCATGGTGCCAGGCCACAATGGGGCTTGGTGGTCCCTGGGGCAGACCCTGCCCACAGCCTTCCCTTCTGGCCATATGCTCCTGGCTGGCTTAACTTCTCTGACTCCAGGCTTCCCAGCTGTAAACTGAGAGTGAAGGTCCCCGAGTGATGAATTTATAGCATAACTATTTCCATGACAGGAAGGAAAGTGGGAGCCACGAGGAGATGGAGAGGAACTGAACCATCAGGCAAATGCATGGTGGTGGAACTGGCTGGACCTTTACTATGAATGATGGAGTCACTGAGTGAGTCTGGGATCAGAGGACTGAGCGGCGGGAGGCCGCAGGTCCAGAAAGCTGCTCTTGCCCGGCATGCCTAGCGCAGTAGCATGAAGAACCGTGCGTGTCCTGTGCAGGCAGAGAGCCTGGGGTCGCGGTGATCTGGGCACATCCCTGGGGTGGGTGGGGCCGTGGGTGTTCTAACTCCTGTACTTCAAAGAGGAAATGAGCGGAAGGAAGGATGCTGTCAGGCAAACAGAAGGGCAGGGACAGTGGAGACTCTCATTGGCTAAGAGGAAGGCCTAGTCCAGGGCCCAAGCAGCAGGGCTTCAGGAGGGGGAAGGCTCCTTCTCTAAAGTCGGGGCGTGCCCGCTGGGAAGCCCGTGCCTACTGCTTGGGAATAGGACCCTATGGTGAGGGATAGGGACCCTCAGTCTGTGACTCACATTTCACGCCACACACATTGCATAGCATGCACACCCTCCCACCCCTCACACAATGATGTGTTGTCTCACTGACGACCCACAGTCTTCCATCCCTCCTGGCCCCAGGAAACAGCTGTTAGGAGGAGTCCGCGGAGCACCCGGGCGGACTGGGTAGGATGTCCCCCTGGAACGCACTATTCTTACAAGATTGTGGTGAGTTCACTTATCCATCCACTTCTCCCCCTGCTGTTTGCACTGTTACCAGGTGTGCATGGGTTTGGCCTGAGGACGTGCAAGGGGCATGGCCATAACCTTGGGCAGCTGGGGAGAAAGGAGGCTGACTGATGTCCAGGGGAAGAGGATGGGCAGAGGGAGCCACAGGGTGCTCAGAGGCAAGTAGCTATGAAAGTGCGAGAGCATGGGAATGTGTTAGTTACCTGGGGTGCATCAACCTGGGGGGGAGATTCATGGGGTCAGACTCAGGGTTTTCTCCTGGGGTACAGGAGCCCCCCACAGCAGGTAATTTTTCAAGAGCTCGAAGACTCAGGTTTGGGGACCAAAAGTCTCTGTTTCTGCTTGGGGCCTGTCCTCCCTCCAGGAGCACAAAGGGGGATGAGGCATGACTCACAGTCGACAGTACTACTCAACAGAACAGGCACAGAACAGCACGGAACAGTCTAGAACAGTACAGAACAACCTGAGAGGGTAAATGAACAGAGGGAGGGGGAGAAGAGAGGGGAAGAAAGAGGAAATAAATGAATAGAATGCCTCAGGGCTGATGGTATTTCCGAAAGATTGGTTCAAGTTTACACAATCTGGGTGAAACGCAACAACACAACCTGAAGCCACAGCCGTCACGCCCGAGACATAGAGACGTTTGTAACGATAGATTAAAACACTGGCTACCCTGATCGCTGCCAGCCTCAGAAAGGCCTGGAAGAGGCCTCCCTTGACACATTTACCTCCCTCCAAGGCTTCTGGGCAGCTCTGTGCCTAAGCAGGTAGATCCCTGCTCTGAAATGTATCCTGGCTCCCAGGGCAGGCTCCTAAGGTACCTCAGCAGTCTATTTCCCTTCTAGCCATGAGCGTCCCTTTCTCGCCCTCCCGGCTGGCAGGCTCACTGCTCCCAGTTGATAGCAGAAAGCTATGGCCCAGGCCCCTGCCTGAGTGATGTCTAGATCCCCACCTCATGGCACCCCAGTGGACTGGGGCATCTGAATTCATGTGCCCCAAGTGAATGAGCTTAGACCCCATTCTAATAATGCGCCCTGGGTAGAAAGACGCAAACAAAGAAATGCCACCTTAAATATTATGGCTGTGGTTTAACACACGGTTCTGTCTTCAGGGCAAGGTACCCCTGTGATAGGTGGTCCCCAATGGAGCTTGTAGATTGGAGGCGGCAAGCATAGTTTTTAAGATCAGAAGAAAACCTCCAGGGAATCACCTCAGGAGCTATTTGACTCATGTCTAATGTCTTGGGAAGAAATAAAATCAGTAAGTCATGGTCATTAAAACATCATCATTCCCTCCCATCCCTGCAGATAGCACTTGGGGGCCGGGCGGGGTGGGGCGAGAATGAGATGTACCTGCAGCGGCCCCTCAGAGGCCACAGCAGCCACAGTCACGAGTCCAGTTGGGAACACGTTTATAAGGAATCAGGTGGGCAGCTCAGAAAAGCCACCTTCGCACATTTTGAGTCTTGATATTATTGGGAACCCTGGGAAAAAATGGCTGAGGTACCTATTTAACATTTCAAAGCGGTTCTTCCAGCATCCCTGAAGTCTCTACCCGTTACAGGGCCCTTCTGGCTGACGAATCCTGCCCTCTACACTAAACTTCTCCAGCCCAGAGGCTGGGCTGCCCTTCCCTATATAATCCAGCCCTTTATTGGTCCTACCCGTTACCCTCCTGGCTTCTTGGTCTGGCTTCTTTCCCCTCCCCAATCCCACCTCTCTTCACATGGTCACTCTGGACTCGTCCAGATGTCCCTGCCTCTGGCTATGCCGTCCCTCATATCTACAGTAAACCACCTCCTCCACCATATCCAGGGGCAGTCATGTCCTTCCTTTTTTTTTTCCCCCATTCAGATATCACAGGACCCGGAGCCTCACAGCCATGCACAACCCTGTCTGTGAAGCCCCAGTGACAGGCACTGACTGAAGACCTCCTCTGTGAAATCCCAGAGCAAAGCAAGGGGAATGCACAGCTGTGCGAAATGCTCCCTGTTGGTCGCACAGGAGAGGCCCTCTCCTCCTACATGGAGCCTACGCCTGTTCTGCCTGGTCACCTCCAGGCAGGTGGTGGGCAGAGGGTGAGGTTCAAGATGAACCCATTGTCCATCATACCCCCCACCCTCCAGGGCGCAAGGCTGGGTTCCAGTTCCCCAGGGCACAGCTGGGACTGATCTCATGACCAATTAACATACAACCAAACACAGGAAGGCCGTGGCAATTGTTTCAAGGGAGGAAGGAAGTCCGGGAGGGAGGGAACAGGCTGCCCCTGAAGACTCAGGCACTGATGGTGCCTCTGTGGCCCACAAGCATAGTCCCCACCCGCCCATGCTTCTGCACCAGTCACCCATGTATGGTCTGGTTCAGCCTGTGCCCCCCCATCCCCCACTAGCCCCTGCCTCCTCTTTATAACAGGATCTCACTTGTCCCAGACAGGCCTCCAATATGCTATATAGCTGAAGATGACCTTGAGTTTCTGATCCTCCTGCCTCCACCTCTTAAGTGTAGGACTACAGGCCTGTGCAGGTTCATGCTAGGGATGGAGCCCAGAGCTTCATGCATGCTACGCAAACACTCTACCAACTGAGCTATAACCCCAGAACACCCTTTCTGAGCCATAGTCTTAACTCTAGCCCAAGAGTGGGCTTCCTGGAGATCCCAGCAACTGCCACCAGGCAAACGTTTACACGTCTCCTGTGTTCTCGGTATTTCTGTTAGGATTCTGCCGCCACTCCAGCTCCATGACCGCACATGTGCGGTTCAGCAGCTAAGCAAGGGGTCTTACGTCTTGTGTCATCAGCGCGGTCACGCAATCAGCACATGCGTGGCGTGAGCCTAATGAGCATGTGCATGGGAATCCTTCAAAAGCGGGACACAGACGACTCCTCTCTGTTCTTTCTGCCCCCACTATCTCTAGCTCTCTCTCTCTCTCTGTTCTCTGCACATGCTTCTTCCC